ACGATCACCATGCTTCCAAAAGATATTCCCTTATTTGTTATGTTGCTGATGGTAGTGAACGGCGCTTTTCAACACTCTCCCACAGGTGTTTTATTGGGTTGAGATATGATGACTGTGAAGACTACAGCACACAGTTCAACTTACTTTCACACTCATTAAGGTATTCATTGAGCCGTCCTGCCCTGTGAATGTAGGCAGGGTCACCCAGGAAGTGACCTTTTCTACCAGGTTTGAAATAATTTCATGGGAGTATGATGATGATGATGATCATTCAGAAATCATTTGTACTGATTTGCAGTGGTCCTTGTCTTCTCCATGGAAGCATCTGCATTTGATAGGTTTACACCTATGAATGTGAAGTGTGGATCTGTAAATGTATTGCGCGGGTGTGTGCATGTGTTATTGACCTTTGTTACTGAGCCATTAATTATTAGTCCATCATATATGGTGCAACGCATTCTGCCTGCACAGTTTACCAACCACTGTTAAACTGTTGTGCTGCATCAATACCATTTACATGTCACTGGTGTCTCACTTGCCCAGGAAAGGAAAGGATTACAGAGAGGGGGGGGGTAGAAGGGACTGAGCAAACACATACAGTAAATGTAAAGATAAATTTAGACAAATGCACAGCTGTTACGCACAGTATTGTAGTTTTTACTTCACTATATATTTTGACAGCTTTAGTTACAATCTTTCACAAACCAAATAAATGAAGAGCTGGTAAAATACGATGCGTTGCTCTCGATTACATTGCCCAACCAACTACATGATAGAATATGCTCAACTCGACCAAATAGAACAGTAAAATTCTGCAAACATATTACTATATATGAGCTGGTAAAATACGATGCGTTGCTATCGATTACATTGCCCAACGAACTACATGATAGAATATGCTCAACTTGACCAAATAGAACAGTAAAATAAAATAAAATAAAATTCTGCAAACATATTACTATATAAAAACATATAGCCTATAACAGGAGGCAGTTGAATTACAAATAGCCTTTTTTTTTTTTGACTTTTAAAACTAAGTACATTGTGCTGTCATTTCAGTGCACAACTTTCATGTGTTTACTTTTTTTAGTTGTGTTTTTATGTATTTTTATATGTTACATTATATTACTGGATCAAAATGCTTCCCTGCAGTGATCAACAGACTCCTCCCATGGTGCTTTTCTTTCTAGCTCCTAGCTGTCATTGGTGTCGTTGTAATTAGGATGTTTTTACTTGTTCGCGTCATGTCTAGTTGTGCGAGCTGTGGAGCTGCTGAGTTGTGGAGCAGTGAATGAGTCATTTGTTCCCTGATTATGTCCTTCAGGCAGCACCTCTCGCCAGGCTTGGTGCAGATTAACAGGGCACTTATGATGCCTGGCAAGGGAGGCAGTGCCAGACTAAAATGCAGTGAACGCCACTGATATTATACGTGAGAGACCGTAACATGATTGTCTATAGTAGCACCAATGTGCACTCAGTCGTATCTCTAACTAGCTTTAAGTAGGTACATGGTAAATTCTGCCCAGAAGTGGGTGTACACCATACATCTATGTAAACACACCCACTACACCTCTTT